CCCCTAGAGCCCTAGTTCCACTGTGCCCCCCACGAGGGTGCTGGGAAGAACTCCCCACCCCAGGCGGGCGTGACTGCCGCACGGCCCAGAATATGAGGGGCGGAAACGCTTGGCCAGGCGAGGAACCGGGGCCAGGAGCCCTCAGACCCGGGCGGTCGCTGGCCATGGGGCGGGGGGGGAAGCCACCGTCTGCAGCAAGGGGTCAACAGGGCCCCCCTCCCCCAGGCTCAGGGAAGTGTCCTGCTGCCTCTTCCAGCCGTGTGGCTGGTGACCCAGGACTCCCATCTCACGCTCTGTTGCCACATGGCCAACTCCCTGGGTGTGTGTGCCCTGTCCTGTTCTATAGAGTCACCGGGCCACCGATTCCAGGGTGACCTTGTCCTACTAATGAAGGTGCAAAGACCCTACATCCAAACCAGCCACCTTCCGAGGATCCGGGTAGACGTGGATCCAGGGTGACAGCTGACGGTTCTGCAAGCTACTCCCCTCAGCTGCGAACAGACGATTGCCGCGGGAACCGCACGGGGCTCAGGCAGACGGCAACTCCAGGAAGGGCCGCGGCTGGAGGCGCAGTTGGTGAAAGCCTCCTGGGGTCGGCTCTTCTCCAGGGGGACACCAAGTCCTTCATTTCCTGTCCCTCCCCCCTTGCCCAGTAACCACGCTCCACCAGCCAGCATTCCTGGAAGGTGCCCGTCCATGAGCTTTCAGCCAGGGTGGCATCCCCCTGAGGCTGTGACTAGCCCCGTGAGGAGCAGGGCCTGGGTGAGGACCTCTGGGAGGCTCTGAGCCTCCACCCTGGAGCTGACGTGGGCTGGGCACGGCCTTCATCCTTGTGTCTCCCACTCAGAGCCTGCACCTGGCATCACTGCCCCAGCCCACAGCTGGTCAGGCGAGCTCACACAGGAGGCATCCAGCCCTGCCTGAAGAGTGGCACAGGGTGGAGGGAGGTTGGGTGGGGGTGTGGCCTCTGGAACACGCCCCCACAGCAGAGCACAGTCCCAGAGAGAGCTGGGGTGCCGGCAGGAGGAGCATTCGGGGACAATGCCCACACACTGCAGGAGGTCCACGGGGCCCGGGGCTGGTGTGGGGTCTTCCTACCCTTTAGCTGATGTTCAGGGCGGTCTCCTCCTGGGCACACCCCATCACAGAGCCCAGGTGCTGCCAGCCCTTCCCCAGCCTCTGACCTTACCCTCACATGTGTCGTGGGCTACCTGGAGCTTCTCGGGCTCAGGGTGAGTGGACTAGAATGCTCCTTGGGGCAGTAGAGGAAGTGGGTCGGGCTGTACAAGATCCTAGTGGGCCTCTGTCCTAAGAGATGGTCAGTGAATGCCTGTCCACCCCTCTGCAGCAG